TTAGGATCCATGCTGTTCGCTTATCAACTCTATTACAAGTAGAGAAACTGATAGCGACTGATCAGACTGCGCGGATCCACTTGTCTGAATCCTTGCTGGTCGCAAACCCATTATGTTGGTTTTGTCATGACACGGCTCAAATGAAGTTTTCAAATTACGATACTAGATTATTAATGTTTAGATCATATGTAGATATAGTTAAACCTACTTGTATATATATAACTTACAGGCCCAAACTAATGAAAAGTTTTTACTGTGTATAAGAAAGTATGTGTTAGTCATCCTGTTTTTGTATTTATTTGTTTGGGTCGTCAGACCAAACAAATAATGGTAGCGAAATTTCAGACTATTATGCTGTTAATTGCAAATGCCGAAAGTAGTCCGCTTTTTTGAAGCGGTAACTTCCCTTTAAATGTAACACTAAGGCCGAAAAATTCAGGGGAGATCACTGCGTAAATGTGGTCACATGACAGGCGCATTAATTTTCAAGCAAAATAATTCCCGAATGGTCGAAGAATTCTAATATTGTTTTATTCTTTATATATATACATGCTTATAGTAAGCGTCATGATTATTTACAAAAGTGTTAAAACAATCAGCGTCGTTACAAACCGTAATTTAGAATAATATGGTTTTCTTCAGGCCATTAACTTGTTAATTCACCGTGGCTGAGGGGTTTCCGCGCTCGCTTAGGAAGCGAGAGATCTGAAGTTCAAATCCCAATTAAGGCAACTCATTTTTTTCAAATTGTTTAAGTCAAATAAACATTGAATTGAATATCAGTGTTGCAATTAGTCTTATAGCCAATCTACTACAATTAAAATGCTGGAAAGCATTGGTGGCACTATACAAAAACGAATAGTTTTATAATCTCACAACCTTCACCTTTCTGACATTCTGAGACCCAAACAAATTCAGCGCCTTCTGTGCTTTGATTTATTCTTGTCATTTATATTTAGTTTAGTCCATGCAATATATCATGTTAACTTTCGTGCCATTGTACTTTTTATGCCATTATATGTGTATGCTTGTATGTATGTTAATCACGAGAAACGTGTAGTTTAAGGGCACACTATGCCTCAAAAATCCATATTTCTAATTGTTTGGAAATGTCAAGAATAGAGCATGTTAGATGTTTTGCAACTAAAGAAAGGAGCGCTGAGTGTGAAGTGATATGTCATAAAGGTAGCAAAATGTCAACAAAACAGTATTTTGATTTCAATTCAAAACACTAATTCACCATAATCATACCAATTATTGCCAACAGAGCAAAAAAGCACTGGAGTATTTTTTTTTGAAACTTTAACAAGACACAAAGAAAATAAAAATGTTTTGAGAAATAAACATGATAGGATTTCTGAGGCATACTAGGCCTTTAAGTGACAAATAAACGTTCTTCTTCATGTAAATGAAGGTCCTCTATCTCTATGACGTATGTAAAGAACGAATAATTGTGTACGATTTTTTTCCCCAAAAAATCATTTACTCACTTCTGCATAGCGTATAAATTATAAGTTTGTAACAAGAGCCGCGTCACGACAAAAACAACATAGTGGGTTTGCGACCAGCATGGATCCAGACCAGCCTGCGCATCCGCGCAGTCTGACCAGGATCCATGCTGTTCGCTGTCAGTTTCTCCACTTGTAATAGAGTTGGTAAGCGAACACAATGGATCCTGAACAGACTGCGCGGATGTGCAGGCTGGTCTGGATCCGTGGTGGTCGCAAACCCTCTATGTTGGTTTTGTCGTGACGCGGCTCACATATTACTGCTACAAACGTATGTATATATAACGAACGTCACTGTCAGCGTAACGTATACGTAAATTCTGTACACGAGTTCAAGACCTATATACAAACAAAACATAGTAAAACAGAATCCCTAAAGAAAGCCCAACACTACAAAATTGAAAAACTATTAAAAAATAGTTTCGGTCCTTCATGTAAAAAAAAAGTGGAGTCCCTTTAAATTTGGGATTAAACTCACGTGCAGAAATAATGATTACAAAGTAGAAAAATATTGCTTTTTTCAGATTCTTATAGTTTTCATTCGTCGTGATCAGATGAATAAGACGTTTTCAAGTGCATTTCGACGGGTGAAAAGACGAGATTTTACATTTAATCATTCAAGCGCATTGTGCGGTATATACCGGCATGCGGTATTTAGTGTGGTGCCTCATCACATTTTTAAGTACCACTCTTTAATTTTTACATTGAAATTCCCTACCATAATACTACGTATCAGCAAAGCTAAAAGAGCTCTCCTAACATTCAAATCACAATGTTTTTAGGGCATAAATTATAATTCTATTGATAATGTCGGCCAAGAAAATTATTATTCATAGGGAATAGGTTTTCTTGAACTTTGTGGTGTAAGAAAATGATCAAGAAATTTAACGTTTGAAATATAAAAAAAAATTGAGCGACACTTACCTTTATGTAGCAACTAGATTTCCATGAAAGTTTAGAATCTCATATTGATAAATCCACAGAATTATTTGCAATAATGATCAATCGAATTACAAATGTATTATTTATCTATAAACAAGAAGTGTTACATAAACGTCAGTTGTGAACTAGGATATATACAAACTGTCGTCTGCGTTCCAGGTAGATGATGTAGAAAATTTAAATCCTGTTTAGTGTACAATTTTGACATTTAAATGTGATCACAAAAACAGAAATTGATTTAAACTTTGAATGCCGAATATGATAAGTGGGAACATACTAAATTAATTCCTGTTTTTGTATCTTCCATGGTTACCCCGTCCCCACTGTCAGGGAGAAAAAAATGTCAAAGTCTATTCAAAATTGAATAGACAGCTTTTAATATCAAAATTAAATTTAAACATTCATGCTTTAGTTTCTTTTCACCACTTTTTGAAAATGACTTGTAAATGAACATTGCTAACAACTTTTAAAGCTATAAACTTCTAGATCAGTAAATAAAATAAAAGAACATCTAACTTAAAGACTCCAAAATAACATTTTTTATATATCTGGAAATCATTTTACTTTTGGCTTCCTGATAAGAAAATAATTGGAAATTGCATATTGTACTATTCTTAACCCTATTTGATTGAAAAGGCGTTGCAACGCCTTTCAATTTTGGGCCATTTTATAATTACTTCGGAAGAACAGAGCGAGCAAACGATCTGATATGTTGCATCAAATGCAACATTATTTAAAGCAACATGCCTCCAGAGTCCAGATTTATGCTAATTTTCATGAAAATTTTGAAAATGTATTGAAAAGTAAAATATTGAATATTGTGCAGTGAAAAACAAAGAAAGTAGTTAAAAACACATTGCAAACGACACCTACAATCAAAAAAAAAAAATACAAAAAAATAGAGGTCAAAATACAAATGTATGCAAAATTATCCCTTACTGCGTTAGTAACGCAGTAGAAATATGGTAATATACACTGCACAATCAGTCTTAAATCGCACATAACATATAAATCATTAACTGAATCTTGAATCTTTTTACTTTTCTTAAAATCTTGATATATTTTTCTCAAGTTTGATTTTCTTGAAATATTTTGGCTTATCTGGAGGTCTACTGCATTCACGTAAACAACACCGTAAACGTCTTTTGGCGATATTTTTAAAATGATATAATCAGTCATTATAATGTCATAACTGCAATCAATTATTACAAATATATTAACTCCGTTCATATTATATGTAAAAATGCATAATTTCGTTCCCTGTTTCTTATCTTTACCATATCATGAAAACAGATAAAGTAAACATTCAGTTTGCCTGTCCTTATAAACATATTTAATTGGCAAAACAAAATCTTAAAATATATACACAGTTTATAAATACTTATAATCATATCAATGTGCTTGTTGTGTGCATGTTTTAATGTGGGATGTGAGTCATTCTCCTCGGTAAATGAATAAAGCGTGTTCTTTGTGTATATATTCAATAGACCTTGTAAAGATGAATGTCTTATTAAAGTCCATGTTCAAGTTAAATGAACTGGATGAAAATTAAAATTGAAAAGAAAGACGAAAATTGAGATTGTTGTCCAAGGGAGAAAACTCGTATGGTCATAATTGAGTATTGTACAAGTTACGGTTCATTCATATGTAAAAACTTGCATTATTCAAGAAAAAAATATTCAAGAGCGCAAGAGCGTTGTCAGTCTACGTGTCGTGCACTCGGGTATCTATCGGATGGATCACAACTATCTTTCCATAAATTAAGCCATTACTATTTAGCAAGCTCGAAAATGATTAATAAATGTATAAGCTAACTTTTTTCACAATCGAGTTTAAATTAAAATACAAAGCAATTTCAACTGTATAAGTATAATATATAATGTATACGGAAAGTACCGAATAATGCCGGACTTTCACGAGTTTCACGTATGTGATACGTAGTGTGTAAAGTTACGGTACATTTGATGATTTTAATGACGGTTAACCACAAATGTGTTTTAAATTGGTTTAAATTCAAGTACGTATAATTCTGAATAAGGAAAGAGGAAGGCATTTTTCATCTGTCAAGTTCTTTTTTAAATTTAAATGTATAACTAATTACTTTTGCTTTACATTAAAAATGGTGATACAAAAATGTATTTATACATGATAAGGACATTGCCCCCCTCCAACATCACCCCCCTGAAAATGAATAGATAAAATAAAATAATAATAATGATAATAATAATGATAATAATAATGATAATAATAATAATGATAATGATAATGATGATGATGATGATGATGATGATAATAATAATAATAATAATAATAATAATAATAATAATAATGATAATAATAATAATAATAATAATGCTAAATTAATAAATAATTAAAGAATAGAAAAGTGATTTAATAACTATAGATGCACTTTTTCATTAGATCCACCTGATTATCCAGGTTCTTTGAATGAAATAAACAAATTTACACGGACAGATATGGATATTTGAAGGACAAAAGCTTATTCTTTCTATTCGTATTAAATCGTACAAATAACAAATTGGTTCTTACATTTTAAGCATTGGGACCATTCTTGATTGATATAAAGATTGCGCTGGTCCTGACCGTCTTCCGTACATGACGTTTTGTGTTGACAGCTGTGCGCAAAGGAACACGACGTCGTGTTCTTTTGCTATCCGTCGTCTGCTGCAGTGCACGCACGCGCGCCTTCAAAGACGTCGTCTGCTGCAGAACAAGCACGCGCGCCTTCAAAGACGTCGTCTGCTGCAACTGGCACTTTCAATCGACGTTCCCTAAAGTATGTTATTTAGAAAGTATTGTCACTTTTATGCACTTTCTAACTCGATGACTTCGAATAGTAAAACATCTAAAACCAAAGAACGCATAAATGTTTCTTCAAATGATATAAGAAATGATATAAAAATATCCTTTAAAATTCAATTTGTTGTACGATAAATTCCATTTTGTTGTTCTGTCATTAAGAACATTACGACATTTTTGTGTATAAACAAATTAAAAAAAGTAAAAGTACATACAACATTTCATCAGACGTTGTATGCATACGCGGCACAGTTAGAAACCAGCCAGCACAGCATGTCTTTTAATTTAGCAATGCGCGCTTCTTTGATCCAGTTTTCATGCCATTAAACGGTATTTTATATGCGCATTAATCCAACGTTTAATATAATCTACATTTAAACCATTAATAAACATTGAACTAAACATATCAAAATGGGGCAAACATATTATACATTTTCAATTCATCAAGAAGCCGAAAAAATCTGAAGAAATCAAATATACCGCATCCGTGTGTCAATTCAAACCCCCAAAATTTATTCTTTTGTCAACGGTCATGTAACACTATAGTGTTTGTTTAATTGCTTGGCCATGAAACGCTTTAGCCTTAAATAAAAAAAATGTTTGTTTCCTCCCCTTTCCCGCTAAATACCTAGCTGCCTAAAGCATTTTATGGCCAAACAATATATATTTTTTTAAACTTTAAAGCGTTAAAGAAGAGTATACTGTATGATGGAGAATAACGTCTGTTTTTACTTGTTTAGAGGCCCATTAGGTGTCATAAATGAAAACAATTTTTTTTTTCAAAAGCTTTATAAATTTGGTATTTTGATACAGTTTCATTAGCCATATTTGCTGAGCGATCTTTTGTTTCTTTCGTATTTCTTCTCCTTTCTTTGAAATCAATAATATAATATATATATAATATAATATAATATAATATAATATAATATATAATATAATATAATATAATTATAATATATATATAATATAATATAATAATATAATATAATATAATATAATATAATATAATATAATATAATATATTAATATAATATATATAATATAATATAATATAATATAATATCAATATCATATCATATCATATCATATCATACATATCATATCATATAATATAATATCATATCATATCATATCATATCATATCATATATCATATCATATCATATCATATCATATCATATCATATCATATCATATCATATCATATCATATCATATAATATAATATAATATAATTCAATACAACACAACACAATACAATACAATAGAATACAACACAATACAATACAATACAATACAGTATACATGTACATTAATTCAACTATGTTCATCGGTTAGAATTATTTCTAATAACAAAAACTTACTTTGGTCGTGGTAGGGAAAACAAAATATTTTAAGACTTGGCCTTATTGACAAACATCTACGCTGGCGCTATTTGTAATATACAAACCGAAATCAATCACTCTACATTGATATAAAAACTTACAGATTCATTATCTTTAAATGATAATTTTGTCAATTGGGAATATTATTTTATCATTAGTGCACTTAAGGTAAAGTTCTTTGCATAATTCATGGGTTGATTTTCTTTTTAATGTATGGTGGTTAAGAAGGTACAACTCTGGACAATAAAACATTTTAAAACGCTCGTGCCCACGTGACCCTTTTAAAATGCTCGTGCTCACGTGACAATAACATACACCTTAGTATGAAATTGTAACATAAATCTGTGTTTAGGATGGATCAGGCGAAGATAAGAGGACAAGCTGCATAATAAGGACATGTAACATAATAAAAATTATATAAAATCTTAATAAATAAGGATTTTGTCAGTCATAATTAGGACCTTCAGAAACCTAAATGAACAAACAAAAATCTAATTCGAACTTTGTAACTTCTAATTAGGTTTTCATACAAAGAAAAAATAAAAAAATGTTTCTTCTTATAAGTTTTTTTAACTTCTAATTAGGATATGCAAAGTCCTAATTCGTGTTTATATATCAACACGTCAAACCAACACAGAAATGTCATATAGCAACTTTCCATTTTTTCTGGTGAAGGAAGAACTCTGGTGCTCTTCTGTGCCGTTCCGCAAGCTTGCTGGATTGTTTTCTAAGTATTTGTTTTCACAGAGTTAAAATAAGAAACCGCGTCGCTTTCAAAATAATGAGAGCTCGCCAATGATTGGTTGTTTCAAAGACCACGAGAAGGTGACTACCTATGGGTGGATGTCAGATCCTAATAAGAAGCGTTATTTAGGAGCTGATTTTAATCAGAGTAAACTTGTGCCAACTTCTGAAATTTTGTCTTTACGTAAAAAGTCAGCAGGTCGAATTTTTTTTATCGTTTTCATGTTCTTAGATCGTTTCTAGTATTCGCATGTTTATGATTCTAGCCTACGGATAATCTTTTCCTCTTTCTGGCGTGTCTTGCGTACTTTCTGCAAATACTTTAGAGCCTCGTTCTGCTTTTGCAAAAGTATAAAACAAATATATGTCATTTGCAAGACTCAAAGACGACCCTGTTGTGTCCGGTGGACAAATTTCTTTTGAATTATTTACAATAACTTTGTCATCAATAGCGATCGCTAAAATTTCATTTCCATATACTTTGTCAATGGCATCGATTACTTTATATATAAGGTGCTCTTTAATACTTCATGACATACTGTACCAAACTTTGCCAAAATCAATGTCACCATTAATATCTTGTCTAGCGAAGATTTGACATTCTATCGTTTTACAAGGTTAAGTACGTGCAACAATTTTATTGTCCTGCTTAAGATCTGGCTTAGAAACATCATGTATTTTAGAAGTACATGTAGTATTTGTTTCCAATGTGGCTTTAGGGTTATCAGTGTCATTTCTATAATTCTATTATTTTCTGATTATACCTGCTTTACAAGTCCAGTTTCTGATACTATTTCCGTAGCCTTTTATTTTCCAATAGTGCCAGGCTATGCAAAAGGGCTGGAAAGCTGTAACATATGTGTAGCGATGTCTGTTTGATCGTGCATGTCTTTACAGAACTTCGCACCAGGCTCAGTTATAAATGCATCTCCATTTTCTTTGGCATCTACACCTTATTTTCCCCTTTAACGAAGATTTTCTTGAACTTTCTGGTGAACATACTGAGGTATGGAACTTTTTGTCATCTCTCACAGACGGCTTTTCTATGAATACTATGCATACACCGGACATTTCCGAAATTTATTCGTGACAATTGGCCTCGGACATTGTTTCTAATGCTCAATTCATAAATCACGTGAGAATAATAGTTGCTCGAGACCGGAAAATTAATAATTACTGGTTAGTTATCCAAGAAAGCTGGTTACGTGGATCAACCACCGAGATATGACCAAACGTGTGTTATATGTTAACATCTGCGTATAATCCAAGAAACAAAACAATTTTATTAATTCATTTATTTATCTATCTATTTATATATTTATTTACTTATCAAAACAGGGATGACAAAGAATCAAATTCATTCTCTTTACCGAATATCTCACAACAGTAGAATATCGTCTTTTCTTTCGATAATTTAATGGAAATACTGGCCATAGAAATTCACAATTTTATTTTTTGGGGCTAAGGGATACATGTAACTTGCCGGGTCTAATTTTAGTAACGGGTGCGTGTGATATTCCGGGTCTAATTTTAGTAACGGGTGCGTGTGATATTCCGGGTATAAGTTTGGTGAACGATGGGTGTGAATCGGCGGGTTTAACTTTGGAAACAGAAACGTGAGCTTTTCCCGGTTTAGTTTTGTCAGTTTGTAACAGTTTAATAAGGTTTGGGACTAGCTCAGACCAGAACGCCATTCGTCTTGGATGAAACTCTTCAATATTCGTCACTTGTGGTTCAATAAGAATATTTGTGATTGGATAAAAATTTTGTGACGTCATGCTGAACTCCGGCCAGAAATCGGTAGCGTTGTTTGGTGTATTTGGATTTCTGAAAAAGAGGAAATCAAAGTACTGAAGGCACTGATTTTGTTTGGTATTCCACAAAGAGGTCGATATCATTCGGCAACAAATCAAGATAGATTCGAAGGATTAAAGGTAAAAAGTTACAAATCAACATAAACATTAATAAAAATCCAAATGGTTGCTCTCCTGTCTAGGATAATATAATATGATTTTTAAAAAAAATGATGCTACTTTAGAAACTCCAATTTTTTAGGCTGTTTCGCTAGTAAGGCAAAGAATGAAGATTTAAAACTTAAGTAGATACTTTTTCCTCGCTGTTCTCAACACAATTTCGATAGTTCCTATTTTTCTGCATTAAAATCATGCATTTTGTTTATACAAACTGAAAATGGACAAATTAATTTATGAATACAGCGTGAAAAGTATTAAAATACCAACCCAGATCTTGCAAAGTTTGTCCAAAACGTCATAATGTCCCTGGACAGCTGCTGTTCTTCCACAGTATAATTGCTGAGCTCGCCGCCAAATATAGAAGCGTTTGCCAACAGCGGGAAACCAAAAACATACGGTATTTCATCAGCATGATACGATCCTGAAATATTTAAAAACAAGTGGTACGGTCTACAACACTTATAATGAAATCGGTTTTAACGAAGTACCGTTTATAACGTACATTCTACTGAGGACCAACCATTTGCCACCTCTTTTCAATTTGTTATATAATACTGTTTATGGCGAGTCTTAATTAACTGAACATAAGGGGAAATCAATCAATCAATCAATCAATCAATCAATCAATCAATCAATCAATCAATAAGTAAATAAATAAATAAACAAACAAACAAACTGAGCAATGAATTAATAGCAGTCAGGACTTTTGACAACCTTTTTTAGAATCAGAGAATACCTTAAACCACGTAAGCAAAATATGGCATTTGACTTATTGCTATTGAATTAAGCGTGCTGGTTAAACCTTTGACGCCAGAGTAGTTTTGAAAGTAATGAGTTCATTAAACAGAATTTCTTTCGTTTAAATGAATAGTTAGTGATCGTTGAATACACCTTACCCCAACCACCACCCCTCTCTCTCTGTATCCGCGCATGATTTATGATGAACTATTTCATTAATCATTTTATTTTATATATGAAAATGTTATGAGTATGAGTAGGTTTTACAGACGTCATAATTCGTTTTTTTAAGCAATAACTGAAAAGTTTAAAGTTACATGTACATCTGTATGTTTAATGTGCAAGCTGAGATTAACATTTTCATAAATCTTAGTGTCAACTTTTTTCGTATTTTTGACATATCATGACGACATTACGACACATTATGTGAATAGTAACGGCAAGCTGCCATAAATTTAAAACTAATTCGCTTATATCATCAAAAATTTTGTAAATGTAAAAAAGAACAAGAAATCAACCGTTTATGTAAAGTTGTACTAATTATATTTAAAGGAGAACAACCATGCTGGTTACGACAATGACAACCCTATGTACCAACTGTATTGCCAGATAATCCCAATATATCCAAGTGTACTGCCCAGACTAATGCCAGTGTATTGTCAGACTAATAAACACCAGTGTATTGTCAGACTTATTAGTGCCAGTGTATTGTCAGATTTATCAACACCCGTGTATTGCCAGAATAATAAAATCCAGTGTGTTGACAAACTAATTAACACCAGTGTATTACCAGACTAATTAATGCCAGAGTATTTCCAGACCTATTAACACCAGTGTTTTGCCAGACTAATTAATGCCAGAGTAATCCTAGTGTAAAGTCACACTTATACTAGTCCAGATTATCCTAGTTAAACACCACACTTATATCAGTCTCGTTCCAGACTATTCTTGTGAGGGGCCAGATTAATCCCAGACTAGGTTAGCTATTGGTTGCATAAATTTAGCTTTTTTCAACTGTAACTCAAAACACTCTATTACAATTGATAGCAGGACCACGGTAAGCTATATAATTGTTAATTACTAATTAAACAAAAGAAAAGATATCGTAAACAAAGATTAAGAATTAAAATAAAACTTAATCAGCATGTATAACTTTGCGTGTCTTTAAATTTGAATACTTAAAAATGATTGGTTTACCTTCAAACCATGGTGGTATCTCTAAAGCATGTTTGTCCGACTGTACGGAGAATTCGTAGAAATATGTAGATCCACCTTTAAGTCCAGCATGCGTCTTGGCGACCTGGATTGCTGGCACGTGAAACATTGGGTCATTCGTCATGGCTATAAGTGTATTTCGTATCGTCAATAAATTCAGAGGATCAGCCCAGTCCGTATAGAAGAATGTTAGAAGCTCTTCTAGAGCTTTCCTTGTCTTTGGGGTATATTCTGTGCTCAATTTTGTCTTGATGAATTCTGGGACTATAACGTTATCAAACTGCAGCCTCGTGACGTTAAAATCTAGTGTAGCCTGGCCTAGCAGATGAGACCAAGTATTATAGTAAAGCACACCGTCCCCGTCATTAAACCCGAGTAGAATGTCGACAGACGCAAAAACCTGGCGGGCAAGATGTGTTTCTGCCGTCTGCTCTAGAAGAATTTCTTCCGGCTTTGCTATCAAAAAATCACCGTCTACAACCGGTCCTAAATTAGCGCGGTTATTCATAAGTATCATTGGGTCTTTGCTTTGTAAACAAAGAAGAGTATTGTTTGTATTGGGTTGACAACCTGTTTCTTTAAGATATTCTTCCAAAGCGTCTATGTCTTCAAACGACCAAGGTGCTAGAGGACTTCCACTTTCAGCTATGACCCGCTTAAACAGACCTTTATTACCTATGTACATTGCTTGCAGAAGAGCAGCTGCACCGCCAGACGATTGACCAAATAATGTGACGTCATCAGGATTACCGTGAAAACTACCAATAGTGGTATTGATCCACTTCAGCGCAAGATGAATATCCCAAAGTCCTTGATTTCCAACAACCGTTCCTGAACTATCTCGCAAAAAGCCAAACATGCCAACTCTGTAATTTACTGTTACCACTACAACGTCTCCAAACAGTGCCAGACCCTCCGGGTTGTACATTGAGGCAGCACCCTGTCTGAAACCCCCTCCATAAATCCAAACCATAACCGGAAGTGGAAAGTTTACACCTAGTCTGTACGGTGCATAAATGTTTAATGTGAGACAGTCTTCAGTAAATCCCGGCACCCCGTACCTATGCTTCAGGACATCCATTTCGTAACGTGTCTGCTGGTAGCAAGCAAGGGGCGTTTTTCTTGCATTGAACGGTGTGGTGAACGGTGCTTTTGGTATCGGTTTCTGGAACCTATTCTCACCAGCTGTTGTTTCGGCGTAAGGAATTCCTGTATATGTGGCAAGTAATTTTTGCTCGCCATCTACATACTTGTACTCCAACGTTCCACTAATTCTCCCTTTGGTTGTATGGACAGTTATAGGCACGTCCGCCGCTACGAAAGAAATCCATAGTAAAATATTTAGAAAAATGAAAAGGTCCATCATTCCTGTCTTAAGAACTAATAACTTATTTCACAACTGTTTAAATATTTTACTTTTTTAAAAGTCAGAATATTCCGGTTTTCGATGCATTTAAAAGAATGACAATCTTGAGAATTGCGGATTTTTTTCAACAAAAGATGTCTTATTTAGAGGTTCATTATAATGCAAAATCATGATTATAAGAGGCATTTATAATGCAAATTTTAGTATGTCCTTAAATTTAATTATGCGTATTAATAAAGCTGAAGAAAAGATACGTGTAAAGCTGTCGCCTTGGTGGACACCTGAAATTACGCAAAACTGTCATATTTGAAATATGTGTGCCTTTAACTTGGCAAAAAGTATATAATGAAACATTGAGTTTAAATTCATCCACAAATAAAATCATGACATATTCCGATGAATATTACCACAAAATGTATGAATATAATTATTTTGTGGACTTTTATGCAATATTTGGTGTTCATGGGTTTAAAATGAAATAATTATGACGATCTGGGCATAATACCAGTTTAACACCATTGGGTGCTTTTTTAGGAATTTTGTTGGAAAACTCCTGCGGTCATTTAACGATATAAAATCTGTGTTTTTTCAGTCAGGAGCTTTGTATTAATTTAATACGCGCATAAGTTAATGGCAATTCATGTGCGCTTGTCCGCTTAACTGCGTTCTTACACGTGGAGACTATTATTTACTAAAACACGTGAATCAAGTTCACGTTATACGTGTACACGTGTATTAATTTAAAGATTAATTGTACTTTCTTTATTGCTCCCCTTTACTCGCATGCGTATAAATCATCAAAGTTCAATTTAAAGTATAAATGATAGATATCCATTTCAATATTCATAACGCCCATTAGAATATTATCTTTATATAGCCTAGTATGAATCGCATCATTCTTTCTATACGCAAGTGGTATTCCTTACAGAGCGAATCCGTTTCAGTACATCATTTATTATTCGTGCCTTAAAAAGGAAAGACTTTGACTTGCTTTAAAAACTGGGGCTTGGATAATTCTTGGGGAAGTGTTTGAACTGTATGATGATGATGATGATGATAATGATGATGATGATGTCAACGACGACGATGATGGTTAAACAACAATCGAGTACAGATAAAAAAAAATACAACAAAAGTAAAACACCTTTTTTAAAGAGTGAATTGCAAATACCATATCCGGATAATGCCCAATAGGTCTCACTAAAATAAAAAAAAGAATAGCGTTATAAAGGAACTGAATTTAATCAGATTCCTAACTAACTTCCTGACAATGAAAAAATATGTTGTTTTTAAATTTATTTATTTTGATTTAAGTACTGACGTTGGCTGTTACAGACATAAAATCATAGATAATTAATTATTAAATAGATATGCATTAAATGACATTATCATTACAATTAATGGCTTAACGAAGACGTCCGTTGCAATTTTCAGATGATTTAAGATATATATATATATAGGCAGAATGAAAACTGTTTCATAAAATTTATCTAAAATAAGAATATAAAGAAATTAAAGCGAAATAAACGGTAGTCGTTAAATCTTGTTTTGGAGAGGTCTGCCTTTGAATGTGCAAATCGGATAAAAACTTTTTAAGATTTGACATTTTCCGTTTAGATTTATTTCCAAAGTGCATGAAAATGAATTATATATATGTATACCATAAAATTTTATTATTCTGAATAAATAGAGGATATTGAATGAGTGTGGATTCAAACTTCAAATTTTTTGGACGAATTGAATGAAATTATATTATGCGAGCCTCTAATATTATCGAATAGAACGAGTTCAATAAATTCAGTAATGAACCTAATATAATATTTCATTCGTCATATACCCAAAATATAGACTTCGCGTCTTTACACAATATTGGTATGACGCAAATGATGTGACGTCAAAATATATGCAAGGTTGTGCGATACAATTTTTACGGAGGGTATGTGATACAATATGTTTAAAGGCGTATAATTGGGTTACATACATGTAAAGCAGAATGAAAACAGAATCATTGATTTTTTAACCTCTGCATGTTAGAATATAATTAACAGAAAGAAATAATAAATATAGATCGCATACCCTGGCGTCACCGACCTAAATTTAACCCTTGAATTGGAAAAATCTTGCTCATTATAAGGGCCCACGGTTTAGAAATTCCTTTTTTTTTAGCTTTTTGTGGGAAATGAAACTTTATTGAGTCATCAAATTTCAGAATTTGGTAAAAAAAAAAATGATAAAATTTTTTTTTTGTTTATTTATGGTCCTTAGTGTCGCTTAATTGTACTCCGCTAAATGTTGTAAACCCCTCTAAATGTCTCAAAATATTTTCCGTTAACGTCGCAATGACAACTTCCAAAGTCGCCTATCTAATTCATGTTTAACAACTGGTATTATTCAATATTAACGTTTTTGTTTGATGGACTACTATTTATCAGATAATAAGGGTTTTTGTGAGTACAAAACAATTTTTTAAATTAAATATCTTTTCGGGATTATTATTTGACGACCACACCAAGGCATCAATTTTAATTTTGACGTCAGTCATTTGCGTTTTACAAAACACATTTTTATACTTTTTTTTTCATTTTTGCAACTCAGACTGGATTCGAGCTACACATCAGTTAGATTATCCCAACAACTGAATTAAATGTAAAAATTTAATTAAAAACAAAGTAAGATCAGAATCATTTCATTTTTCGCCCAAAAAGCCTTTTTCAAGGGGTTTTTTATAAATTATTTTTATACAATTTTAAATTTTGCAAAACCCTTAGATTAAATTTTTCAAATTTTTTGAAATCACACTTTTTGGTCACGTATGCAAAATATCGACCCAGTGTGTCTTTTCTTGAGAATGTTACAGGCGTCAAATCTAGCCCGGTCGAACAGAAAATGATGCCGTTGTGGCCAAAATGTATTTTCGACACTGCCTGTGATGACGAAAAATACTCTGAAAGTGGGCTAACATTCTGACAGAAAATCAGGCTCACTTTATTATAATTGTTTTATTCGTATCGTCACGGCTTTAATTACATGTGATTAAAGCCGTGTTATCGTACCTTTATCCATGCACAATTGAGGCTTTAAAACTATCGTTCGTTATATTTTTCTCATGACACAGAAAATATGTTAATGCGAAAGGTGCATCGAAAAAGCTTTTTTGTTGAAACGCAGTTACAGAAACAAAACAAGAGCATTTTGCGACTTTTAGTGGTGGTTGCGACATTTATAGGCAAGTACAACATTAAAGCGGCGTTGCGACATAAAATGGCGCCAGATATGCTAATTTTGATTTGCAACCTATTTTTACAGAATTTTTAGTCTCCGTACTTTCACTGAATTTGTATTGTGTCCAAGGATAAAATGAAAACATTAAAAAAAACAAATTCAATGACAGGAATTTCCGAAAGGAGGTCGGTGACCCCCATTTTTTACAGTTTTTATTCTGGTATATGTCCATATATAACCCTAGTATATACACATCTAAACTAATTTTACAAGAACCAAAAAAAAAAAAAAGAGAAAAAACAACAACAATCAACAAAACATAGAAATAAGAATAAAAAAGAAGAATAA